TTCGACTAATTTCAAGCCTAAACTTCCCCACGGCCCGTTTATATCCATTCGTTCTCGTGTCCGCATTAGTACTGAGCTGGAATAATTCCTCTCCCTCCCTGGTATTTATCCCTCTGATATATTTAAAGACAGCAATCATATCCCCCTCAGCCTCGTTTGGTCAGGCTAAACAACCCAAGCTCCTCTAGTCTCCTTTCATACAACAGGTTTTCCATTCCTCTGATCATCCTAGTGGCCCTTCTCTGTACCCGTTCCAGTTTGAGTTCATCTTTTTTAAACATGGGAGACCAGAACTGCACACAGTACTCCAAATGAGGTCTCACCAGCGCCTTATACAACGGAAGCAGCACCTCCTTATCCCTACTAGATATACCTCGCCTAATGCATCCCAAGACCGCATTGGCTTTTTTCACCGCCACGTCACATTGTCGACTCATAGTCATCCTGCGGTCTACAAGGACTCCGAGGTCTTTCTCCTCCTCGGTTACTTCTAACCGATGCGTCCCCAGCTTGTAACTAAAATTGTTGTTAGTCATCCCTAAATGCATCACCTTACACTTTTCACTATTAAATTTCATCCTATTTCTGATACTCCAATTCACAAGATCATTCAAGTCTTCCTGCAGAATATCCCTATCCTCCTCCGAATTGGCAATACCTCCCAGCTTTGTGTCATCCGCAAACTTTATCAGCCCACTCCTACAATCTGTTCCGAGGTCAGTAATAAATAGATTAAATAAAATGGGTCCCAAAACCGAACCTTGAGGAACTCCACTGGTGACCTCCCTCCAACCTGACAGTTCACCCTTCAATACGACCCGCTCCATTCTCCCCATTAACCAGTTCCTTATCCACCTCTGGATTTTCATATCGATCCCCATCTTTTCCAGTTTAACCAATAATTCCTCATGCGGTACAGTATCAAACGCTTTACTGAAATCACGGTATATTAGGTCCACCGCATTTCCTTTATCTAATAAGTCCGTTACTTTCTCGAAGAAGGAGATCAGATTGGTTTGGCACGATCTGCCCTTCGTAAAACCATGTTGTAATTTGTCGCAATTGCCATTAACCTCAAGGTCTTCAACTACTTTCTCCTTCAGAATTTTCTCCAGGACCTTGCACACTACAGATGTTAAACTAACAGGCTTGTAGTTACCCAGGTCACTTTTTTTCCCTTTCTTGAAAATAGGAACCACATTAGCTATTCTCCAGTCTAACGGAACCACCCCTGAGTTTACAGATTCATTAAAAATTATCGCTAAGGGGCCTGCTATTTCCCGTGCCAATTCCTTTAATATTCTCGGATGAAGATCATCCGGTCCACCCGACTTAGTCCCATTAAGGTGTTCAAGTTTGGTTTCTACCTGGGATACGGTAATCCCCTCTCCTGTATACCCCTCTGTCACGCTGCTAATATTCCTAATCCCTTCATTGGCCTCATTAAACACCGATGCAAAATAATCGTTAAGATATTGTGCCATGCCTAGATTATCCTTAATCTCCTCTCCAGCTACAGTCTTCAACGGTCCCACTTCTTCTTTCTTTGCTTTCTTCCTATTTATATGGCTGTAAAACCTCTTACTATTGCTTTTAATTCCCCTCGCTAGGTCCAACTCTACACGGCTTTTGGCCTTTCTCACTCTATGTCTACATGCTCTGACCTCACTAAGGTAAGTTTCCTTACTGATCCCTCCCCTCTTCCACTCTTTGTACGCTTTCTGTTTTTTCCTAATCGCCCCTTTGAGATGGTCGCTCATCCAGCTCGGTCTAAATCTCTTGCTTACTAACCTTTTTCCCTTTTTTGGGATACAGGCCTCCGACAGCTCATGCAGCTTTAACTTAAAATAATCCCAGGCATCATCTGCCTTTAGATCCATTAATACGTTTGCCCAATCTACTTCCCTTACCAGTCCTCTTAATTTGTTAAAATTAGCCTTTTTAAAATTATAAACCCTAGTCTTTTTGATTTAATTCTGTTACTCCTTCCATTTAGTTTAAACCGAATTAGCTCATGATCACTGGAGCCCAGGTTGTCCCCTACAACCACTTCCTCAACGAGGTCCTCACTACTCACCAAAACCAAAAAAAATTCAAGCTACGAGTTCCTTTTTGTACATAAGTATTCATGCTAGCAAAAGTTGAATGCTCAAATGTACATAGAAAATGACCATAAATAGGATGTAAATACAGTCAAATTAACTTTTTAAATTCAAATACTTAAAATATTGACACACGCACACACCGTGCTGACTGCTAAAATGAAACAGCCAATTTGAAATCTAACGAGACAAATTGGGTGAGGGACTCTCTTTTATTGGACCAACTTCTGTAGGTGGAAGGGATAAGCTTTTGAGCTTCATAGAGCTCTTCCTCAGGTCTGCAGAAGGTAGCCAGCGTGTCCAAGCTAAATATAAGGTGGGACAGATTGTTAAGCATAAGAAGTTCACACATGCTGAAGGAAACCACTTAAAATGAAATAGGCCATTAAAGTTTAGCAGGCAGTAAAGTGTTTTACAAAGCATTGTAACACGCCATAAAACCATTGTCTCTATTAAGTCCATGGTTTTGTGTCCAGCAGAGTTATGAATTTAAGTTCCCAGGCTCATCTTTTGAAAGGGTTGTGCAGGTTTCATTTGACAGCTAAGATTAAGGGATCAGAGATGGAGTGACTGCTTTGTGAAAAGTTTTATCCCAGGGTGATACTGTTTTTGTCTTTTATCATTTTACTGTGAGAGTTCATTTGAGAGTACAGTCTGGTTTCCCCACATAGTTGTTGTTGGGGCATTTGATCCACTGGATGAGGTATAATACAGGTTGTGATGGGCATGTGTAGGACCCATGCATCTTTAAAAGGCATGTTGTGCAGCATATTGATCATTGTAGCAGTGGAGATATATCTGAAGGATTTGCATCGGTTGTTCTAGCAAGATCTAGTGCTGCTTTGAGTTGGTGTGTCCTGGTCTGTGAGGAGTTTGCTTCTGATCATGAGCATGGCAGGGTTAGGGGAGGGGGAGAGCCTGAAGGCCAGAAGAGGGCTATGTGAAAGATTTCTCGCAAGATGTGGTCCCCAACAAGTATGGGTTGTAAGTGTTCAAGGATACTCCATACAGATTCCAGTGTGGGGTGGCAGGTGACATCTAGGAGTGTGCAAGTGGGGTTTCCCCTCCCCCCGTATTGAAGCAAATTCTTCTGGGGTATTTGAGTGGCCTTTTCCATTATGCCACTTCTCTGGTTTGGCGCCCTTGTTTAGTGAAGGCAGTTTTAAGGCTGTATCCTTGACTTTCTCTTTGGAGCAAATTCTGTGCTATCCGGCTGTTGATAACAGATTTCTTGGTGTGTCTGGGGTGATTGCTGATCTGTGGAGGTAAGTGATCAGTGGGTTTCTTGGGTAGAGCCATTTTTTGGATTCTATTGTTGAAGCTGATGGTGATGTCCTGCTGATGCTGGTGTGGGAGTATTCTAGAGAAAGTTTGATAAATGGAGAATGGTTGAAATTGTGGTGGAAATCTATGAGGGAGTTTAATTCATCTGTCCAGAGGATGGAAATATCATCGAGGTATATCGTTGGATTTGTGGTGCATTTTCCCAGAAATTCTCTCTTGTAGTGGTCCACGAAGAGGCTGGCATATTGGGGTGCCAGCCTAGTACCCTTGGCAATTCCCATGGTGCAGGCAAAGTGTTTGTTGTTGAATGTAAAGCTGGTGTGGGTGACAATGAAATGGATGAGTTTGGTGAAGTATTTGAAGTGGATTTCCAAGCATTATTCATTATCTTGTAGGTATTTAAGCCAGACTACAATGTTGTCATAGTTAGAGATGTTGGTGTATATGGAGTTGATGTCCATGGTGGCAAGGATGGTGTTCTGGGGGAGCTAGTTAATGATGCAGAGTTTCTGGAGGAAGTCATTAGTGTCTTGGAGAAAACTGTCCCTTTGCATGGTGACTGTCTTTGAGGATGGTTTCTATGAGTCCTGATATTCCTTCAGTAACAGTGCCATAGCTGAACATGATGTGTCTGCCTGTATTCCCTTGTTTGTTTATCTTGGGAAGCATGCAATTTGAAATCTAGTAATTTTAAAAGTTTTTATGTACCATCCCTGCCTCAGAATCCCCTGGCCAATTTGGGGGAGGGGACTTTTTAAAGTGTTTTTTTTTGTGAAGACCCACACAAACTGGGCAACTTGGACACTGACCAACTAATTTAAATATGGTGAGAGTGGCAGAAGGATGGTCTAGTGGAAAGGGAACTGAACTGTGAATTCAGGAGGCCTGCATCCAATCTCCAGTTCAGCCACAGAGTTCCTGTGTCTCCTTGGCCAAGTTACTTAGCCTATGCCTCAGTTCCCCGTTCTGAAAAATAGGGATAATGCTTACCTACCTTATAGAGGTGTAGCAGGGATAATATTCATTAATTATTGTTAGGCATTCAGATAATGGACAGATGGGGGCCATATAAGCATATAGGCCTGGATCCACAAAAGGAACTTAGGTGTCTAGGGGGAAAAAAAAAATCACATGTACAACATTGCAATTCACAAAGCCCGATTTAGGCACCTAGGCTCCTATATAATTAATGAGGAGGGATATGATTAACAAAGCCAGCACACTAAGCGGGGAGTCATCTATGCTAGCCAATGGGAGATGCCATCAAGAAGGGCAATGTCTCTCATGTGAATAGGCTCCTATCTCTGCTCGTGAGCCATGGAAGTGGAGGAAGATAGGTGCTTCTCTGCCTAACTCGCATTTGGGTTCCAATCAAGTAAGCATGCTCAGAGGCTGCCTAACTGCACACAAAACAGCCTGGAGAGATGGGAGGAAAAGGCAGTCCTCCCTTCTAACCTTTAACCCAGTGGTTAGAGCACTCACCCAGGACGTGAGCTAATACCAGTTCAAGTCCCGCCTCGGCCTGATTAGAAGAGATTTGAACAGGGGTCTCCCACCTCTCAGGTGAGGCTCCTAACCTCTGGACTATGGGATATTTTAACATGGGGCTCCCTCACTCTCTCCTATTGAAGTTGTTCCACTTTAATTATATAATTAAATATTAATTGGGCCAGAGAAAGAGAGACTGACACCATAGCCTAGTGGTTAGGGCACTCCCCTGGGAGGTAGGAGACCACTGTTTACATCTCTTCTCCTCATCAGCCAGAGGGAGAACACAAACTGATGGTCTACAACATCCTGGTTGAATGTGCTAACTACTGGGCCAAAGGTTCTAAGGGAGGTCATCTTCCTCTCTGGCCCCACCCCTGGCTGTTTTGTGTATGAAAGGAGGCCATCTCTGAGCACGCTTACCGGACCAGGCACCACATGCAAGACAAGCAGATGAACACCTATCTTCCTCTGGTTCATTGACGCCTCTGAAGCTTAGGGGAGGAGATAGGCAACTGGACACCTAGAGCAGCATGCATGCTCAGGGGAAAGAACTTAGGCACCTATGGAACTTTTACTGCAAAACCTTCAGTGCCAAGTGAGTTTAAGTGCCTATAGAGTTAGCTGGTAGGTGAATAGCACATTTGTGGATTACAGTGACACCTAAAAAGACACCTTTAGATACCTAAGTAGCTTTGTGGTTCCATTATTGGGCATATAGCTGTGTGGAAAGTGCTACCTGGCTGTCACAATAGCAATAACAGAACGCAATGGTTTTCAAATGTTTTCATACTATTGATCACTTCTTAAGACTAAGGTCTTTGTAGATCGCATCCCCTTCCAATTGTCTACTCCTTCCCTCCAGTAGTCATGGTAACTGATTACATTAAGACAGTATTAAACAGGACAAGACAAAAATAAATTCACATTAATATGATGCTGCTTAGCTCTCTCGCCCTCATTTTCTATATACATTGTTTATTTCTTCTCCCTAGGTATAGGACTTCACACTTGGTAAGACTGAATTTCTACTTATTGCCTGGTGCTCACATTGCTCCAGTCTCACCAGGTCTCTTTGTAGTTTGTCTGTCCTGTGCATTTGCTACCTTCCCAAATTTCACATCAGTCACAATCTTCACCACAGTTGAGTTTGCACCAAAAGAAACACTGGGCCATGAGACACGACACAAATCATAGGCTAGGTCTACACTGGGGGGGGGGCGATCGATTTAAGATACACAAATTCAGCTATGTGAATAGCGTAGCTGAATTCGATGTATCCTATTCGACTTACCCCGCTGTGAGGACGGCGGCAAATCGACCGCTACGGCTCTCCCGTCGACAGCGCTTACTCCTCCTGACGAGGTGGGAGTACGCGCGTCAATTCGGGGATCGATTTATCTGTCTAGATGAGATGCGATAAATCGATCCCCGAGAGATTGATTTCTACCCGCCGATCCGGGCGGTTAGTGTAGACTAGCCCATATAGGCTGCGCCCAAGTGTAAACAGCTTCTGAAACAACGTCTTGAGCTGACCTACAGCTGCAGGAAACATCATTGCTTGAAGGAACATAAGGTACAAGAGTTTAGTACAACCTGTCTGGTGAGACCACTGACCTAAGGCACTGTTTGACCAACTGCCAGTCCTGCAGATGTTTTAAACAACTGGAACTTGAAAGTGCTGCTGTGGGAAACCCTCCAATTCTTTTATCTTTCCGTTTCAAACATGACACTGTTTTAAAGCACCTAGAATTTCCAATTGGCTTCCTGTTTTTTTATTCCCCTTTACACACTTCCATCTCAGCCTCTCAGGTATGTTTGGAAAATGAAGTCCTGGTAGTGCTATTTGGGGTAACAGGATGTTTACTAGATTGTAATATTTCCTCTGTTAACCTAGCCTCTCTAATTGTATATTATGGCTTTACTGGCAATGTCTATTCTGTGAGTACACAAATAGCAACATGGCTATGCAGTCAGAGTAAAGCCCTATTAGAGATTACTTTAAAAAAAAATACTGCCTGCTCTGAATGACCCTTAGGCATGATGTTATTATTCACAAGACCGGGTTTTGCTCCACTGTCCATGGCCAAAATTTCCCCTAGCCCTTCTGTTGTACTGTGCATCAGTCAGCTTCTGCTAGGCCCCCCCAGAGTTTGACGCATTTCACTAGTGTAGTAGGACTACAATTTGAGAAGGATGAAAGTTTAATATAAACTAAAGATACGTTTATTAATACAATGTAAATATAGCACTCGAATGCTACAGGGTTTCTGGGGAAATCAGCTCACACTCCCTCTACTGCATTCACTTGCTTTAACAGCTTTATTGACAATAAGCAGCATGATGGCCTTCATTAAGGGCGGGGGAGGGAGGGAAAGAAATCACATCCATCACAAAGAACTGATCACTTCTGGAACGAGATTGCCATCTCATTCTGAATTTACATGGCTCAACTGCTGTTTGCTTCAGGATGTGTATAAATCCCACTAAATCTATCTAATAATGGACACAAGTTGCCAATAATATCACTATTGAGCATTCAAATTTTCAGAGGTTAAAACTGATGCATCAATCTTAAGTCTTTCAGTTGCACTTGAAGTATTGCAGCTTGCAAGGTACAATTCACCACAGGCATCCATGAGCCACAGAACTGAATGCACAGCAGATAAAATTCATCCCTCCTGTCTCCCAAAATAGTTAACACAGGTTTTATTCAAGGAACTAATTTGGGTTTTGAGGCTAGGAGGGGACTCCACTGACCCAGCCTGGTCCTGCTTCAGCAAAGCACATGCTGAACTTCTCTCCAAGGAGGTTGCAAGGCATTCCTCCCTTATGAAGGTAACCCGGCCACTGGATCTTTTTAAATGCTGTCCCAGCAGTTCCCCCTACTGCAGGCCAACTCTAACGCTGCTTTCTGCACCAGCCTACTGGGACCTGATGCAGAACACAGGTTCAAACCATGCCCTGTAACACTAATGTCAAAACAGCCTGGGTGCCAACTTCGTTTGACCACCTTCCACAAAAGGATGAATTATTCTCAGTATGAAGAATTGAGAATTAACTGTTAGCTTCTGAATTTGTTTCCTGTAGTTGGTTAATGCCACAGTCCTAATATAATTTTATAGAGAGAAGGGGCCAAATCCATGTGTGACATTTCCTTTGACACAGGGAATGAGCCCATAGGTAGTTCTTTCCTTTCTTTTTATGTGGGAGGTTCTCTTTTAACTAAGGAAGCTGAGATTTCAGACTAACCACAACACCTGCTGTGAAGTTATGTTCATCATATAAATACATAGTCACACCTTTTATTAAATGCAGATTGTGTAATAACACTATGGCTGTGTTCCATTATGAGGTTGAATGTTAACATAATAACTAGTGTTATCATGTCAAATGATGGCTGCATGTACATGTAATAAGGCTGTGTACTAAATATTCTGAGAACCAGATTCTGGCACCCTTACTGATGTTGAATAGCACCTTCCTCTGAAAGCAGGCTTAGTGCTCTGCTTGAATTCTAGTGTAGGTAATTGCATTCTGCCTACCTAAGTGCTCCCTGTGGTTTCACAAAAGTATTCTTCATATTTTGTGCTGGACTGACGCGTAATGTTGTTGTGGGCTGTTAAACAGCTGCCATACTATTTTGGGTGAAATTATGAGCGGGGGATCACTGGAGATATTATTCAAGATACATTTAACATTTACTTAATATTTAATTAGTATTGAAAATTAAAATATTTGTCATTTTATTTTTCTCCCAAAGTTTCAAGACTATGTTATAAGATAGTGACTTGCAAATTATTAAACAAGTTTTCTGTTCAAAGGAGACAGTACCCATTATTCTCTAATATCACATTGACTTCCCATGGGGTGGGGAAGTAAGAAGTAAAATACGGAGAAATCACCCAGAGTTATATTTAATTCCAACATTTACAGCCAAGTTTCATATCTTAAAAATAGATTTATGTAAAGGAATAATTAACAAAAGCTTAAGTTAAATCCAGTGAATGATAGCCCTTATTTTTATTATAGTGCCAAGTATTTGAGAAGATTTTAGCATAACCCAGCATGCAAAAGAAAGATGAATCCTACTTCTGTTTCAGAAATACCAAATTATGAAAAATAATCCAAAAAAATTGGAAATGAAAACATTTACATTCAAGAATTAGCTTCCATAAATTGGCATTAAGAGCTTATTCCTGAAAGGTGATGGGCTCTAGCCCGGATTCAGGGAATCACTTAAGAATGTGCTTAGTTTTAAGTTCAATACATATTTGACTTAAGTAGGACTACTAAGTACTAATGTGTTCAAAGAAAAGCAAGCACTTAAGAGTTTTGCTGGGTCAAAGTGTTCAGCATATTTCAGGATTGAGCCCTAAATAGATATTGAAGTGTATGTGTACTTCAAGATATATCATTGGGGTATATTAGATCAGCTCAAACTTCCTAAATGATAACTGAAGACAAATTATAGAGAAATTAGTGGATTTGCTTAAGTTTTCTCATCTAAATACAGGGAAAGTTAAAGATGTATACACATAATTTGTCCATTAAATAATGGAGTTACCTATAAACCTTAATTTAAGATTTTAGTTTCAAAAGAAAACTGATAAAAATATTATCCGTTTATTTGGATTTGGCAGGTAAATTGAAAGCCATTGAACTGTAGCTTCAAGATAGAAATTAGTTCACCTGATCCACCATGTCAAGTTCCAGAGTCTGATCAGACATTCAGAATTACAATATCACCAAAATTATGCAATATGGGCTATTTGTCTATAGTAATGATACTTACAGTAGAAGTTATGTCTTCTTTGTGGGTTCCTCATTTGGTGATGTAATTTTCAGAAGTCACCATCTTTTTGTTCTTAGATACAGCAGTTCCTCCATGGTTCCTTTTAAGTACTGTTTGGAACAAGCTGTTTTCTCATAGTATATTTCCTTAAGTGCATGTAAATTCTGTGCTTGGATTTCCTGTCCAAAACACTGAAGTGTATACAAGAGTCAGTCAGTCATCAGGAATAAAAAGTACATAGCATGTATATGGCATTTTACATCTTCAAAGCACTTTACAAATGGTTTACTTTTTGTTCACTTTCCTCCTGAACAAAATCACTGAGAGTCCCTTAGTAGATTGAACACCCAAACCATAAATGGTCCAGAAGATTTTAAAAGGCCAGAAATTCTTTACGGTGAATGAAGAGTTCAAAATCATTAGTCCTATTTATTCTGTCTCTCCAGAATATTTACCATTCATGAACAAAACATGTACATGCAGTAGGTCATGTAACCGCTACCGTAATAATATCCCACCTATATTTTAGAGGCCCACCATGCTTTGAAGTACATAAGGTTTCTATTCTTTAAAAAGACAAGAGTTATTTTTAAGCTCATGGGCTTGCTAAGCGCAGGCTTTTCATGCTTGTAGTAACATTCCTGGAATCCATTAATGTGAACTGATTGAGAAATTAACCAATCCTCATAGGATTTGATTTTATTGTTCCTTATTACATTTTAATCAATGGGGGAAAAAAAAGTTACTAAAATTTTATTCCAGCTTCAAACATATTGTAAATATCCAAGAATTACTTAAAGGAAAAAATCTCTCTTAGGTTGCACACTGCTTTTTGCAATGCTCAGAAGTCATAGATTTGAAGCATATTATGTTTATGTAAGTTCCAGGGAAAGAGAGAATATATGCCAGAGAGTTATACATGTTCAGCTGTTAAGAAAGCAAGTTGCTCTGGTACACTGAACCTACAGAAACTGGTCTGTGTCATTATATCAGCCTAAAACCTGTAGAAACATAATTGCCATAGTAAAGTCATAACAAAATACAGCTGAGCAGCACTATTTTAGGTAATGTGGTGATCTAGTAGTAATACAATCTGTTTTGGAATTTCTAGGCTTATATTAGATTTTTGAACATCTGGTTTTAATAGGTTAATATATGTGATAATATTCATTATACACTATTTTCCAATACAATTTCACAATGCAGACATCCATCTACAATAAAGGCAACTTTGCAATAAAAGAAAATTTGTTTTGATGTATTCATTATTTTGTGACTTTCAACTGTGACCATACATTTCCTTGTGCCTAGTCTGCAATCCCTAGCGTATGTTTGCATACTCTGGATTTGGCAAAAATCTGGAAGCTTTGCCCACCATTTAAATCTACTATTGGGCCCAATCCTGTTCTCACTGAATTCTAAGGGAGTTATGCCATAGATTTCTAAGGGACATAGTTTGGTCCCAGTTCTTCTGAACAGAGCCACACACAGTAAGCTTTAGAGCAGAGGTGGGCAAACTATGGCCCGTGGGCTGGATCTGGCCCACGAGCCATTTTAAGCCGGCCCGCGAGCTCCTGTTGGGGAGCGGGGTCTGGGACTTGCCCTGCTCCGCCGTGCCAGCCAGGGCACAGGGTCAGGGGCCACACCACAGAGCTCCCGGAAGCAATGGCATGGCCTGCTCCGGCTCCTAAGTGCTCCAATGGCCCCCTCTAGCGCTCCAACAGGAACTGCAGGGGCCGTGCCTGAGGACAGGGCAGCGTGCAGAGCCATCTGGCAGCCCCTCCGCGTAGGAGCCGGAGAAGGGACGTGCTGTTGCTTCCAGGAGCTGCTTGAGGTAAGTGCCGCTTGGAGTCTGCACCCCTGAGCCTCTCCCTGCACCCCAAACCCCAGCCCTGATCCCCCTCCTGCCTGCCAAACCCCTCAATACCAGCCCGGAGCACCCTCCTGTACCCCAAACCTCTCATCCCCAGCCCCACCCCAGAGCCCGCACCTCCAGCTGGAGTCTGCACCCCAACCCCCTGCCCCAGCCTGGAGCCCCCTCCCACACCCTTAACTCCTCATTTCTGGCTGCATCCCAGAGTCTGCACCCCCAACCAGAGCCCTCACCCCCTCCCGCCCCACAACCCCAATTTTGTGAGCATTCATGCCCCACCATACAATTTCTATTCCCAGATGTGGCCCTCCGGCCAAAAAGTTTGCCCATCCTTGCTTTAGAGCAAAATATTGTGTCACTGAGCAACAGTATAATATTCTGTTTGTGGACTATCTTTATGCCGTCTTTTGTTGTGGTAATGTGCCCATTGCTAAGTCAGTCTGATTAGCGTTCAAGCATTTCCACCTCTAGTGATTTTATGAGTCTTGTGATATTTGATGTTTTTCTTAACACCTCAACTCTTGGAGTAAGGTAAATGCATAAGGCTGGGAAAGAAAAACATGAATCTCAAAGTCTCAGAACCAAATAAAGAGCTCCTAACAATTTCTTTTACTCGTGAATTTTAAACAAAATCATGATTTGGGGGCTCTGACTAATGATTTTTGAACAGTTGGGGTTGGTAATATGGGTTTTAAATAGTGTGTGTGTGTGTGTGTGTGTGTGTGTGTGTGTGTGTGTGTGTGTGTGTGTGTGTGTGTGTGTGAGAGAGAGAGAGAGTAGAGAGACTGTGTAAGTCAGTATTATTGTAAGAATTGCCATGTTATTTGTTAGTAATTCTGTGAAATAAGTAGCTCTGTAAGTGAAAGATGTTAATCTATTTTCTTCTCCTTTAAACAGAGCAGCCCAAATCTTGTTACAGACACAGCTGCCATTTTGTGTTTCAGTTCAGATACAGAATGTCACTTTGCTCTCACTTACTGTGAAATAAAGGTAAACTAGGCTGAAGAGGCATTTTGCTCTTTCTGTGGAACACACAAATGTTTTAAAGGCTGCCACTGAAGCGGCAATAAGAATCTGTCCCATAAGAAACCACACATCAGGACTTTTATAAATAAGTTAAGACATTATTGGACCTGAAATAGATACTATAATAGTGTAGCTTAGCATCTGCAATGCTTCTGTAATGCATGTTGCAATTCAGAGGTATAAATTATGAATTGTTTTTCATAGGACATGTTTTTGTGCTCTAATTCTGCATGGGACCCTTGACTTGTTTATTTATAAGTGAAATGTTTCACCTGGACTATTATAGTTTCTTTATTGAAACAATCAAATAAATTTCACTACTAGATATACATATACAGGGCCTGCTAGTTAGGCACAGAACTTTGCACATTGCATGTCTCATTTCGGTGAGCAAGTGCCACAAGTATGTGTGTGAATCTGGTACCTGTGAGTTTGAGAACCAATTCCAATTAGTAATGTATGGAACAAATCAGATGGAATAACCGGATCATCACTTGCTATGAATCAGGAGTAACTCCACTGATGTTAGTGGAGTCTCACTGGTGTAAAAATCAGTTTGAGAGGAGAATCAGGCTCTGTGATGACTAATTAACCACATTTTCTTGAAACTTCAGGAAATGCAAATTTCACTCAGAGAACATGTCCTAGGAATCAGAGCAGACCCAACTCGTTTTATTTAAGACAGAGAGTGTAAATCCTGTTTTAAGTGCCAAACAACATAACCTTAACTCTAGCATTGCCATGGCTCTATCATAAAACTTGCTTTAAAATCCCAGATTATCAGGAAAACTGGTAAAATAGCTCTCCCCACATTGCAGCAACACTGCTCTTTTCAGCTTGATCCTTTCCTTCCTTCTCCCTCAACCCTACCCTGCCCTCAGCAGCCCTCTAGTCTCCTCTTTAGAGAGCAGTTGGCCCCAGAAGTCATCAATGTCAAACACAACCATTAGAGCAAAAAGTAACGGGTTCCATATGTTTGTCACGCTTTATGAAACAGTTCTGCTTAGGTTTGTTTTCTGTTGGTTTCTAATGTTTACTTTATGTTCATCTGTGGTTTTTCCAGTGTCCTTTACAATTTGTGCATGTGTATTTTCTGCAAGTAGGAAACATTTGTTTGGATCTAGTTTATCAACACTGAAACCCTTAAAACGTCAGAGAGATCACCACAACATTTTTTCCTTTTCCATAATGAGACAAAGTAAGTTGATTTGCAATTCCTTTATGCTGTTTCCCTTTTTGACTACATCTTAGAATGGGAAAATATGGTGACTGATATTTGCTCAAAGTGTGACATCCACACTCTAATTAATTAATTAATGGAGATATCCTATCTCCTAGAACTGGAAGGGACCTTGAAAGGTCATCGAGTCCAGCCCCCTGCCTTCACTAGCAGGACCAAGTACTGATTTTGCCCCAGATCCCTAAGTGGCCCCCTCAAGGATTGAACTCACAACCCTGGGTTTAAGCAGGCCCTGTTGTACTAGGTGTGTTAGGAATAAGTGAGTCGGTGTTATTGAACTGTTTTAGTATTAATGGCCCTCTTTGCTGTCCTCTACCTTTAGACTACTTATGTTTCTCAGCAAACAACCAGAGAAATAGATAAAACAAAATACTCTTGCTGGAAGGTTGCAACATAACACTATTTTATTTCTAAGAATTTAAAAACACACAAGAAACCAAAAATAAACCAGACATACAAAGCAGGCTGCTCCCTAAAATAGAGAGGCACAAGTTACTCCACCTTACTGTAGACTGGCTGTCTGCAAAGTGACTGCTCCCAGACCCAGGCTTTGCTACAGAGCTCCCTAGCCTGCAAGCAGGACTAAGGAACCCCCTGTCTCTTAAGCAACCACCATCTCTTAAAGCTATAGATTGCAATTCCAACACAGTTCAGACTTTCTAGGGCTTTAAAGACATATATATGCTAAATATTTGTTTTTTAAATTATATGCACTTTGTGCCTTGACTTTTTAAATTCATGGACCTGTTTTATGCTATGTTAGGTTAATTTTAATATTGTTTCTCTCGGTATTTTCAGGTATGTTTTGTTAGTAGAATCTTCTCAGTCCTCCGAGAGTACAATATCTTGTAAATGGTTTCTGTTCACCTTCAGTGTTACAGTAGGTCTGCAGAACCATATTGGTTTCAGCTGTTGACACTGGTGGCCCTAGACATAAGAAACTATTTATGCAGCTGGATCTCTTTGTTTTCACTTAAAGAACCTCAAGAGAAAACCCCCTACAGGAACTGGAGATGTGAATTTTAGCTGCAAAATATTTTTTTTAAAGTAAT